AATTAATGAAGACCCAAGCAGTCAAACATGCGCTAAAATTTGCCTGCAAATGACAAAACGATCAATTCTCGATACCAATTTACAAACAGAAACTGTACTTGTTGGCGATGAAAAAATTTACACAAATTGTTGTAAAGTAATATTACGGCTATACTGCTTATCTTGAGGCTGACAATACTCGTAAGAAATCAAAAATCAGTGAGAATTCACATTACTCTTCTGTCTTACCTCTATACTATAAAAATATGCTAAAATAGTAAATCATTAGTTCAAAAAATCTGAATTTTTCACTTTATCACATAAAAGTTAAGAACATAAGATGAGCTCTGCCAAGTAAATCGAAGATATTTTTCCATTTTCTAGCTGCTGTATTCCATTGAAATTTTTTTACGTGACTTATTTAGGTCAAGAATAATACTGACGACAACAATCCATTTTCAAGTATTTTTTTGATGCCTGGGGACTTTCATGTTATGAAGAACTATATGATCATGATCTGGTTGGTGTTGGATGGTACTGGAATAGACGACTTATTAGGAGAAATATATCATGGTGCAACTCTTCGTTCTATTCTTAATGTATCTCACTTTAACAAATCGTTTCGATCTATTAAGTTATTGTATACTTCATTATATATGTTATTAATCGAACAATTTTATACTTTTGTATCATTATCCGAAACTTTTTCATTAAAACAGTTGGAGGATATTTTATCACAGTTACCAAGTGACCCGATAAAAGACTCCATTAAACAAGCATGGTTTAAAAATGTTACTAGTGTTCTCCAATCATTAAACGTAACAGAATTGTTTACTAAATGGTGTTATGACTGTTCTTTAAAGTCGATAACATTTCGTTTTTGGGTTTTTGTTTTATTTCGTTTGCTTGACCCACTTATCAAATTCTATATTTCTATTCGATCAGTTGACTTTGATTCACGGAATGCAGCATTTTCATCTATGGTACCATTATTTTTCGGCCATAAAAGACGGAACTATGCCCCATTAGGGGCTCGTCATCTTGTAGACTTACAGCGTGCATCAAGTTATTTGCTTAAAAATCTATCGACATCGTTCGCAGTTCAGCGTACAAATCGTCCATTTTCTTCCATTCCAATCGATCAAACGATTGAAACAACGATTAATAAGTATGGGAAAGGTCGTGGTGGCATAACGGGACATTTTAATACAAACCTGATAGAAAAATGGACGCAATCGTTTGCATTTCGTGCGCTGTTGTCCACAATTACATCGGAAATATGCGGATATGAAACTGGAACTAATAACATCGATAGTCATCGTGAATGCTCGCNATACAAACCTGATAGAAAAATGGACGCAATCGTTTGCATTTCGTGCGCTGTTGTCCACAATTACATCGGAAATATGCGGATATGAAACTGGAACTAATAACATCGATAGTCATCGTGAATGCTCGCCGAATCGTCTGACGATGGATAGTGATGATTTAAATTTGATGTTAACAAAATTAAAATCCGAAAAACTATTTTGTGGAGTCGAACAACAATTTCGCACACTATTCACTGGAAAAATAATTCATATCAACATTGTAAATAATATTTGTTCGTCGTACGAGAGAGGATTCACCATTATGAAAAAGTATATTGAAGATCGTTTAATGAATTCAAATGTTAAAATTGAAGATAAAATTGATTTTGGAAAAGTATTACGCATAATTGATGCTGATAAATATGTACCTGATGCGAGTGTCAGTAAAAAAGTAAAACTTCCGACTTATAATCAAATTGAAGCGTTTATTAGAAGATTGTTTTTAATTAGCGAGTCCAGAATGATTAAACTAGATACTTTATTTATTCACGAATTTAGTGAACAGCCCGTATCACTATGCAACAAAACAAATGCTAAATTACTCTATCAATCATCAAAATCAATATTACAAAAATATTTGCAAGAGAAATTTGATACTGAGTTTTTACAAGCACCCACCTGGACATCTGATTCAAATCAGTCTGCGTTAGTTTTGGATGGTGGGTTATTGTTACAGCAGTCACCGCCTCGTGAGCAAAAAAGGACGATAACTTATTATGCTGCCGAATTGATTAATCGATTTATCAAAGATCAATTTAATAATCATGATCGAATTGATATCATTTTCGACTCTGGTGACAGTAAACAATTAAAACAATTTATCGAACGTCACAGTACACGCACAACAGCAACTCAATATAGTATGAATGAAGATTCTATTTTGTGTGTGGGCGAAGATTATAACAAATTATTACGTTCAAATCGTTCTGTAGTTGCACGTGCTGTACGAGATTCATGGTTAAAGTTGTATCCAAAACTACCGAATGGTAAAACGATGTTTGTGGCTGGACCAGATGAAAAAACATATTTGTTGATTAATAGTGATTGTGTTATAGTGGACGATTTAACGTCAAATCACATCGAGGCCGATACACGGATTTTTTTGCATATTAAACATATTTCGCATTTCGAAAATATTACTCAAGTTATTGTTCAGGCAACAGATACCGATATCATAGTTTTAGCAATTGGCTTTGCAGTAGAATTTGGAATTAAATTGTACGTACATTGTTCTACATCACGAAAAATACAATCAAAGTACATTGACTGTTCGGTCATTGCTCGCAGATGTAGGGACGAATACAAAATTCATCCTATGATATTAATCGTATTACACGCTATTAGCGGCTGTGATACAACGTCATTCATTAGAAACATTAGCAAGCAGAAATTATTTCGTGCTTTTTTTAAACAACCATCCGATTATGCCGATTTAATAAATATGTATGTTATTCCAACCACTCCTGAATGTTTATCATGTGCTGAAAGATTGCTAATAAATTGCGTGAATTCATCGTTAGCAAGTAAGTCTATGATGGACTCCGCACGGTATGTTTTACACTACACAGACACAGAAGCATACCTTATTATTTATGTATCTATGTTTTGGTACATTGTAATGTAATCTTCACAAAACTTGTTCAACTGTTTCAGTAAAATACTCAGCAGTGTGTATTATTGCTTTTAGCGTTAGACGAAGTTAGAACGTCTCAGGCAATAACACACTTGAGATCAACTTCCTCCCAATCATTTTTAAATATTTTATCACCTACAACAAATTCGTTCCACTACCACTGCAAACGTGTTGCTGTACAATGTAATATTTGGTTTCAATCTTTATTCAACGATATTGATTATCCTGAATTGATTGGCAATGGATATACTTCAATTGATGGGGAGGTAGCCATTGAATGAAATCAACGCCATCGATGCCTGATACTAACTTAATGATAACATGCACATGTCATACTGGATGTGCGACAAAAAGATGTAAATGTTTTAAGCATAAAATGAAATGTACGATTTTATGCAAGTGTAAAAGTTGTGAAAATCTGCATGTCAATAGTCAGAATGTTGTATCCTTACAGCGTTTGGAAAAGGTAAGCGTTTAAATATTGACTAATTCGATGACTTAAAATTTAAAAGGTACTTTTAATAACGAACACTATTTAAGTCTATTTCTTGCTGCTTTTAGAGTGCAAAGAAAACTACACGCCAAATGGGAACTCCCGATGACTCCAGTGAAGGTGGAAATGTTGACGTAAGTACACTTATCTGACCCTCAGTTCATTTGCGAAGCGCCTTTGACCATTTAATGTATGGATGGTATTTTACTATGTTTAGATGGTGAATGCTGTGGAAGAAAATGATTCTGTGAATGAATTTTTGACAAACAACGATAGCGATCTGGTAATTAGTCCTTCTTAGACATCCGCTGGTTACAGTCAGTAACCGACGAAAACCAGTCGATAACCGATATCGCTTATGCTTGTGACTGATCATAACCGATGGGTTCTCAGTAAGAATTCATCATTGTTTGGTTTCTAGAACACTTGGTTAACTGAATAATCGATCGGTTATTTATTATCAATGTATCGCCAGCCGTTAGTCCTATACATGTACTGGATAACGCAGTGTCTCTTATTTCGTTTAGTTCTGTACACAAGATGATGATTTACGTGATGAGTGGTGTGAAGATGACTCACAAATGCACGAGGATAGTGATGACGATGAGGTAATTACAGTGGTTTGCTTCAGCTATGAACATAAAACAACAAAAGCTATGAAGATTTCCATTTTGTCATTTAGGATGATGTATCAACTGAAGACTCTTTCGATGATTATGACGAGTCATTAACGCAACAACCGTTATCAGTAGAATACCGCTTTGCGTCACAGTTGTTAGCCGAGTATAATGATGATCCACAAACACAAACGGATATACACAGTGGAAGTCAAAGATCGATAGAATATGCCTATGAGTTTGATAACAAATGACCAATCTCACAATGGCAAAACTACGGGAGGAAGGTCATGGGGTTATGGCCCAATGTTAATTCAAAAATTTGTAATTTTCCTAGCAGGGTTTTTGAAAAACTACTTTTTGCCAATGCTTTCTCTGATTTTTATAACACAGTCCGATCCATTTTTTGATTCAGTGAGAGTTGGTCCAACGCACAAAAATTCCTAGTGCACTATTGGAAGCTCATACATAGAGTAGTCGTAAGTCATTACAGATCGGGGACTTTCGATGGCTCTCACTTTTCGTGATTAAACAGTCTTAGTCTTAGTCTAAACTTAAAGCTCAATTAAGACTTTATGTTTCGTCAAATACCTGTATCCTTTTCGTTTAAAAAAATAAGTCCCCAAATAGAGAGAGTTCTTGTATTATTTCAGATAACGAGTCCTCGCGCAACAAATTCAGCAATCTGCGATTATTATGAAGAAACTTTTCAATTTTATATTATCTAGCTTTCTTCTAATTTTTAATCATCACTTTTTTAACATTTGGTCTAATAAAAAAATAAAACAACGTCAAATACATACAGAACTGACAATTCCAATATGTTCATAGTAATTGACCCAAAGTAACAGATAAGAAAAGAGACTCCATCCCTCAAAAACGTGAATAATGTTGGCAACAAACAAAAAACGATAGCATGCGAATATTGCTATTTATTCAGATGAATAATATGTAATACAGACAATCTCAAGTACAAAATATCTATAAGACGACAAGTGACATCTCTTGAAATCAATAAAGAGATCGTTAAAGCACAATAATCACAGCTATCGGTACAGTTCATGCACAAAAGGCCGCAATGTTCTAGAAAATCGAGAAAATAGAAGCATTTTCTCTTTGCAATGCGAAAACTATGAAAAAATCTCTAGTAATAGCAAGAACAGACATTCTCTGCCATATTTATTTCTCGTTTTAAGCAGCCATTATCATAGCACGCTGCTATAGCGCCCGATCTGATCACTGTCGATCTCACTAATTCGCAGTTGTCCGGTCTTCTGTTTAATACACT